CAATAATAAAAAAATACCATTTAAGAGAATGGTATTTCGATACACAAGGGTACATCTTAAAGGAACTGTAAAGGAAAAATGAAGGGGAGGGGGGTATAGGCTGAACCCTGAGCATTTCAGGAGTTGATTGAAACATATAAGAGTTCTATCTGATGTTCCAGTCTCGAGAAATTGATATAAAACTTATTACCTTATTCATGATTTATCATCATTGTTCTGTTTAAAATGTACACTGTACAGTGTACATCCATCTGTTTATTTACAATTCTTATTCGCTTATAATGGGCCAACCAATCAAAACAACCAACTCTGGTTAGGCGGGTCCAAACTACATAGTAAATTGTGATTTATTATTTGTATTATCTCAAGCTTTGTAGTTGAATAAAAATATGAATGAATGAGAAATGGTTAATAAATATATTTATTGATTAAGCTACCTCTAGGAGCTTAGACTTATTTTTTGAAAAGCCCTCGAAAAATGGATGTAATAACATGTGTCATGAATTAATATTTGTTAAAAGTAAAAATAACTATTTTTTAAGAATTTTCGATATACTTTTTGAACTTATTAAAAATCATCCTTTACACCCAAACCATTGAAGTTAGGGGTCTTTTTTATAAATAAGCAGGACTAGGACATGTATCACACTCCCCTATCTCAACTCTCAGGGCAAAATTATAAGGGGAGGGGTGGAAAACCCCCCCCCCCCACAATCTATATTAGACAAAAACTGCTCAATCGGGATAGGGTTAATATAACTCGTATAGAATATAGATTACTGAGAGAAAAATTTAAATAAAAAGTTTGTTTTAATTTTATCATTTTTAAGTATGATGATTCTGGTGGCATCAACTGTATTGGAAATGATTTGAAGAATGATTTTCAAAAATCCGCCAATTATCATACTTCCGCCCTTCATCAGCTGGCGGAGTTGGCGGAGATCAAACAGTTACAGGTGGCGAATACAGTTTAATTGTTTCATTTTAAACTTTAATTTTCGATTCAAAGCTTTGTCTGATCATCATTCCTTATTTTAATTGAGTGTACACAGCTCCTTCAGTTTACCGGTGTCACGTTATAAAATGTCCGGGCGTGAGATAATGTTTTTACACTGTACAGCTTGCTCTACCTGGTTAGATGTCGGTCCGGTTCTTGAAATGAACCAGACTTGACAAAATGTCCGTTATTCCGAACAAAATGTTAATTATTTTGAACAAAATGTTAATTATTCCGAACAAAAATTTAATTTTACCGATCAAAATGTTTATTATTCCAAATAAAATGTTAATTATTTCAACAAAATGCAAATTATTCTGAACAAAATGCTCGTTATTCCGAACTGAATGTTTGCTATTTCGAACAAAACTGCGTTATTTTGAACAAAATGTTCGTTATTTAGAAATTGTATTCTTCTAATTGAATTTCTAATTGTAGGAGGACATGATGGAGGTAGGTGGACACACCCCCACCGGTAGCCCGACTACCACGCCTCCTCCGATGTGCCTGGACCAAGATAATGCCCGCCCTCGCCTTTTTAACCCTGTATACCCGGGCTCCAATCATTCTTATTCCCACCCCCGGCCCCGCCCACTGGAGGCAACCCAGGTTCAAAGTGCCACTACGCCCAAGATGAGACTTAAATGCCGAAGTGCCACGCCCCCTACAATAGGAATACCTTCTGCACAAAATTATTTAAATGTAAGATATTTATGAAAATTACACACAATTGTAAAGTGAACTTCCATTTAAAAGATAGCAATGTCGGATTCACAACGGTTCCCTTTAAAACGTTATCTGAGTAATAATGCGGAAGATATCGACGTTTGTCGTTTGTCTAGCTTGACAATTGTTTAATTCTACAACTTTTTTCATTGTTTCTGATGTAGAAAATTTAAGGTTCCCATTCGCAAAACTTTTGCGCAATTTTTGCGAAAGAAAGCACAAATTTTTGCTTTCATTGCGCTACATTTTTGCACGAAAAAAAACACTTTGCGCAATCATTCGCAAACTTCATTTAGCGCAAAATTGCGCTATTCTGATTTTTGGTGTAAACTGTTTAAATCAGTTATCTATGAGACTGCACTTTTTTGCATATAATTGTAATACTTAGAAAGGGAAAACTCTATTTTGCAACCTGATGCATGATGGCACACTGCAAATCAAGATGTGCACGATCTCACACAAAAGTCGAGCAGTATTTTTCCAATTACTCATTTCAAACTTAAGATAGAAAGAGACGCGTAGCATTTTTAAATGTACATGTCTAGAGCTACAAAAAAGTATCAGTGAGTTGGCGAGGTTAAACCAAAGGCCAAGGTGTTGTGACACTTCAAAGTACAAGCTGTATAAAAACCTTTGATAAATAAGTTTCAGTGTTGTCTTTATCTCAGTAGGCCTTAGGCCTTTGATATTTCAATCATACATGCATTCGACTAGAATAAGTCAACATTTGAAATATCAAAGTTTACCACCACGCAAAGATTCAGATATCTATAAAATCTATAAAATCAATTTTCAATTTTCTAGTTTTTGTTTATTAATTTTTGTTTATTAATTTTTTTTTATTAATTTTTGTTTATTAATTTTTGTCCCTCAATTTGAAGATTTTGTAACTAAAAGTAACTAATTGAGGGCAACAAAATCATAATTTTTAAATAACCAATTGAGAGCAACAAAATTATAATTTTTAAATAAACCCTCAGTTGTTTGCTTCTGTGCTGAAACTGTCAACTTTGGTCAGTTTGCAATAATATATTTAGCGTAAAAATTTACGTTTTGCCCAATACTTCCGGTTTTGCGCAAATTATGCAAAAACGCGCAAAACTTATTGCGCTTTATTCTGAAAAGATACGCAAATTCGCAAAAGAAATATTTGCGCAAAAAATATGATAAGTTCGTAGAAACCCTAGAAGAAATACGTGCAAGTCACTTTTATAGAGAAGCCACTGTTGAAAATAATCAATTTTTACTGAGAACGTTATGGATATGTCATAGATTTTCGATCAGACAAAGATTATAAGGGTACTGTTGTGCATCGGACATGCCACTCAATAAATGTGAGATTACATCTACAGTCTTTTATGACGGCCAGGATATTATTTAATAATATGTACATTGTACAATCTAGGGAAATCATAAAATAATATGTACATTGTACAATCTAGTGAAACCATTAAATAATATGTACATTGTACAATCTAGGGAAATCATTTAATAATATGTATATTGTACAATCTAGGGAAATCATTTAATATGTACATTGTACAATCTAGGAAAATCATTAAATAATATGTACATTGTACAACCTAGGGAAATCATTTAATAATATGTATATTGTACAATCTAGGGAAATCATTAAATAATATGTACATTGTACAATCTAGGGATATCATTAAATAATATGTACATTGTACAATCTAGGTAAATCATTAAATAATATGTACATTGTACAATCTAGTGAAATCATTAAATACTATGTACATTGTAAAATCTAGGGAAATCATTAAATAATATGTACATTTTACAATCTAGTGAAATCATTAAATAATATGAACATTGTATAATCTAGGGAAATCATTAAATAATATGTACATTGTACAATCTAGGGAAATCATTAAATAATATGTACATTTTACAATCTAGGGAAATCATTAAATAATATGTACATTGTACAATCTAGGGAAATCATTAAATAATATGTACATTGTACNTATTTTTAATTAGTAAAATTGTATTTTTGACAAATCCCACCCCCCTAGTTTAAGAATTTACTGTTAGGAAAATAAAGCATTTAAAAGTTCAATTATGTTTTTTGCTAGGGAAGGGGACCTCAAAATATTCCTAAACCCTAGTTTAGGCGACCACAAAGATGTTCCTAAACTCTAGTTTAGGGGACCTTAAAGATGTCCCTAAACTCTAGTTTAGGGGACCACAAAGATGTTCCTAAACTCTAGTTTAGGGGACCTCAATGATGTCCCTAAACTCTAGTTTAGGGGACCTCACAGATGTTCTTAAACCCTAGTTTAGGGGACCTCAAAGATGTCCCTAAACCCTAGTTCAGGGGAACTTAAAGATGTCCCTAAACTCTAGTTTAGGGGACCTCAAAGATGTTCCTAAACTCTAGTTTAGGGGACCTCAAAGATGTTCCTAAACCCTAGTTTAGGGGACCTCACAGATGTTCTTAAACCCTAGTTTAGGGGACCTCAAAGATGTCCCTAAACCCTAGTTCAGGGGAACTTAAAGATGTCCCTAAACCCTAGTTTAGGGGACCTCACAGATGTCCCTAAACTCTAGTTTAAGGGACCTCAAAGATGTCCCTAAACTCTAGTTTAGGGGACCTCAACGATGTCTTTAAAACTTGAGAGAAAATCTGTCTTTTCAAAACATTGAAAAATCCCTCTCTAAATTCTATCTTTTAATTGTATTCAAGAATAATGTTGCAAACAAGGTCTGAAGGATTTATTTCTTAGGATTCAAAAGAAGATTTGTAAATTATAAATTGGGAACAATGTTTATTTCTAAATAGTAAACAGCTCCTTTAATAAATTTATGTCTCAGGAACACGCCTTCCCTTTCACGCACAAATTCAGACGCGTCTCAGTACGGTGGTTCCCAATATTCATACAGTTCAGCCCCCTCCCCTCTTAGTCCCGCCCACTCCCCAGCAATGCATAGACACTACCCCTCCCCCGCCCTTCCCTCCTCTCCACTCCCCAGGCGGCTCTATCCCGGGGAGGAGGGGGAGGAGGGAGGAGCAGTTACTCTTCCTCATCATGGAGGGATTAGTAGACAGCAGCTGATTAATAGGTATTCATTCATTCATTCATTTATTTATCCTTCCTCTCACCTATTCATCCGTTCTTTTATTCATTCATTCATACATTCAAAATTTATTGTTCCTTTCATTCATCCTTCCTTTCATCCATTCATTCTTTCATCCATCCTTTCATCCATTCGTTCTTTCATTCATTTTTTTCTCTATCTCTTTTTATCTATTCATTCATTGATAAACTTACTTTTTCACTCATTATTTCCTAAATTCATTCTTTTTCTCTTTATCTTATTTGATCCATCTCGGCCCAGTGTGCAAGCCATAGTTTTCGCCACTATTTTTACCACTGTGCTCTGTTTAGTCCTTGCCCTGTTTGTGGAGATAAAATTTCTGGATTTCATTACGGTATTTTCTCATGTGAGAGCTGTAAGGTATTATTATTATTATTATTATTATATTGTACAATCT